GCTAACACCATCGCTCACTTCCTGTCCATGTCTGTTCTCCCCGTAGTGCTCAGCAGTCCTGCTAATGTGACTCAGGTTGTGTTATTTCTTCACTTACAATGGTTGGATTGTGGTCTACCATTTTGCTATTTGTTTTCAATTTGTCCCATGTTTTTGTTTCTGTTCCTCCTTTGCTACTTTCTTATATGTCAAGTAAACATTTTTTAGTTTATGGTTTTAATTCTCCTAGTGGCTTTAGCTATATTTATTTACTCTAATAATAATTTAATATTGTTGTAAGAATTGAAATCTAATTTCTTGACTTTTCACAGTGAAGTTTAGGTTATATTAAGCTCCATCCAGCAAATTAAAGGACACTTGTAACAATGTAGTTTCATTTTACCTACCATTATGCTATTATTGTTGTATATTTACATCAATATACTTATAAACTCAATAATACAGTAATACTTTTTGTTCTAATCCTTCATATTGTCATTAAGAAAATGAGTGTGTGTGTGATATGTGTGTGTGCATCGTTTCTGTTGTTAGTTGTCCCCTTCTGTGTATCTGGGTCACCATCTAGAATCATTTCCCTTCAGCCTGAAGAGCTTCCTTTAAAATTATATGTAGTATAGGACCCCTATGAAATGAATTTTCTGATTTTGATGATGTAAAATATCTTCATTTTTGCCTTCTTCCCTCATCCATTTTCTTTTTTTTATTGGGGCATTTACGTATAATAAAATTCACCAGTTTTCGCTGCATTTTTTATGAATATTGACAATCATTTATAGTCATGTAACTACCCCACTGCCTAGATAAAGAACAGTTTCTTTTCCCTAAAAACTTTCCTCCTGCCCCTTTCAATTTAATCCTTGCCTCCCATCCTGACGCCCTTCCCTTCACTCAACCACTGCTCTGCTTCTGTTACTGTAATAATACATTTTTTAGAATTTCATGGACATGCAATCATATGTTATGTGGTCCTTTGCTTGGTCTCACTTAGCATAACAATGTTTGAGATTATTCCATGTGGTTAAGAGTAATAACATTTCATTCATTTTTGTTGTTGAGTGGCTGCTGAGTACTATTGGAATTCCAGTTTATTCACTGTTTCTTTATTCTCCAGCTGATAGACATGTGGGTTATTTCCAGTTAGGGTCTGTTATTAATGAAGCCACTATAAATAACTGATTACACATCTTTGCATGGCCTTACATTTTCATTTCCTTTGAATAAATAAATATTTGTGGTTTGTGGGTCATGGTAAATGGATGTGTAGCTGTTTAAGAAATTGTGATACTATTTTACAAATTGACTGCAACTTTTTTTGCATTCCTATCAACAATATAAGAAATTTTTATTTTTTCCATATTCTTACCAGTATTTAGACTTACCATATGTCTTTTTAACTTTACCTATTCTAGGTGATGTGTGATAGTTTCTCACTGTGGTTTTAACCTGCACTTCTTTGATGACTAGTATCATTGCTATCTTGTCATGTTTGTCTAAGAGACTTATTACATCTCTTTGGTGGTGAAGCGGGCAGATCACTTGAGGTTAGGAGTTCAAAACCAGCCTGGCCAACATGGCGAAACCCCGTATCTACTAAAAAAAAAAGAAAAAGAAAAAGAAAAAATACATATCTTATGTGAATAATTTTGCAAATTTAATCATTAATCCCAGGAACTTTTTCAGAATTCCTTATGATTTTCTACAAATGCAACTAAGCTGAGGAAGAAAAATTTTATTTCTTCCTTTCCTATTTTTTTTCCTTTTGAAGTTATTTATATTTAGTAAAGACAGGGGTTCACTATGTTGCTCAGGCTAGTCTCAAACTCCTGAACTGAAGTGATTGTCCCACTTTGGCCTCCCAAAGTGCTGGGATTACAGGCATGAGGCACCACACCCAGTCCTTTTATTTGTCTTTCATTTCATTTTCTTGCAACATTGCACTAGTCAGGATGCTCAGAGGTGTTTAAACAAAAACGTGGAGAGCCATATCTTTGCTTTGTTGCTGATCTTAGGAAGGAAGCATCTGGCCTTTCGTAATTGAATATGATGGTAGCTGTAAACATTTCGTCGATGTTCTTAACCGCACTGAAGATATTCCTTCTGATTTTTAGTTTGCTGAGATATTTTGTCATGAAATGGTCTTTATTTTTGCAAGTGCTTTTTCTGCATCTATTAAAATAATTGTATAACATTTGTTCTTTGTTCTATTAATTGGGTGAATTGTGTTGTTTAATTTTCAGATGTTAAACCAATCTTACTTTCCCATGAAAAAGACCAATGTGACATGGCATATTATTCATTTTATGTATATCTTAATTGGATAAAGTTTTGTATAGAATTGTGAGTCTGTATTTAAGAGGAAGATTTGTTCTTGATTCTTTTTCTTGTGATGTTCTTGTCTGGGTTTTCTATCTGGATACTGCTGGTGATGTGGTTTGGCTCCATCTCCACCCAAATCTTACCTTGAATTACACTCCCATCATTCCCATGTGTTGTGGGAGGGACCCAGTGGGAGATCATTTGAATCATGGGGTCAGGTCTCCCAATACTGTTCTTGTGGTAGTGAATAAGTCTCATGAAATTTGATGGTTTTATCAGAGGTTTCTGCTTTTGCAGCTTCCTCATTTTCTCCTGTTGCTGTCAGGTAAGACGTGCCTTTTGCCTCACACCATGATTCTGAGGCCTTCCCAACCACGTGGAATTGTAAGTCCAATTAAACCTCTTTTTCTTCTCAATCTTGGGTATGTCTTTATCAGCAGCGAGAAAATGGACTAATACAGCAAATTGGTACCAGTGAGTGGGGCGCTGCTGAAAAGATACCTGAAAATGTGGAAGTCACTTTGAAACTGGGTATCAGGCAGAGGTGGGAACAACTTGAAGGGCTCAAAACAAGACAGGAAAATGCAGGAAAGTTCGGAACTGTTAGGTTTCCATATGCAAGCCTGGAGCCCGAAAGTCTGAAGTCCTGCCTGCCCTGACTCATATTTTCCACCCCTGCCCCACCGCCTGCATTCACCATTGTCCCTAATCACCAATCCAAGCTTCCTGGACAAGCCCTTCACCTAACCCTGTCATCTTAACTGTTCTTATGATAATGTAAATACCTCTCACCCAACCCAGCCTTCTTAACTGTTATGATCAAGTAAATACCTCTCGCCTAACCCTGCCATTGTAACTGAACTTGTGGTCACGTATACTCCTTGCCCCTGACCCCCACCACTGTAACTAAACTTACTCTGCAACACCCCCACCCCTCAAAAAATCTACCCAAACCTATAAAACCAACTCCTATCCCATTGCCCTTTTCTAATGCCCTTTTCGGCCTTAGCCCACCTGCACCCAGGTAAATAAACAGCCATGTTGCTCACACAATGCCTGTTTAAAAGGTCTCTTCATTCAAAGCATGCATTTTTCAACATTTGGTGCTGAAACCTGGGATGGGGAAACTCCTACGAGAGACCAAACCCCTGACCCTGTTCTTGTGCTCCCTCCATGAAGAGAGAGATCTAACTACCCACCTGGGGTCATCAGACCAGCCCACAGATGCACACCACCAGTTATCTTGGTAAGCAGTCTCTCTTTTTTGCTTTCCCATACTTTTGTCTTTTCCTTTCCACTTCCTCCCCCTTTTGATTTCATCCTTTTTCCACTGAAAAGACAAGGAAAATCAGGTAAACCAAGTTCTTCCGTGAGGTTCATAACCGGAAACTCCTACATATGTCACAGATCTGGGAACCCAGTTTCCCCAGGAGTTTGACTACCATGGAGATGTTCACCCTAGTCACTCACCCACCAGGCTCATGGCCGATATTGGTGGCAGGTCAACACAGAGGACGCTCTCTTTAACCACCCACCAATGATGAGGTTCAACCCAGGCTCAACTAGGGACACCTTTTGTGTGCCCATTTTCCTTGTCTCTGCTGCCTTTCCAGAACCATGGGCAATCGTCTGTCCTCTGTCCCTCCCTCCTCTCCCCTGGCCTGTGTTCTAAAAAACCTCAAGCCTCTTCACTGTCTCCTAACCTAAACCCCAAATGTCTCATCTTCTTCTGTAACACTGCATGGCCACAATACAAGTTAAACAATGGCTCCAACTGGCCAAAAAATGGCACTTTCAACCTCTCTATTTTACAAAATTTAGACAATTTTTATTGCAACATGGGCAAATGGTCTAAAATTCCCTACATCCAGGCATTTTTTTACACACCAATCCCTCCCTCCTTCTCTTCCCTTCCTTCCTCTGCTGGTAAGCCAGAATCATCTTCCTTGTCCATCAGTTCTTCCAACCTTTCTCCTCCCCACCTGTCCAAACCAGACCCTAATCCGGAACCTAACCCCAAACCCCAGAGCCTTCCTCCTCTTCCTCTGCCCACAACCTACCTCCTTATGCCCCTCCTGTCACCTCCCCACCTCATACATGGTCCAGTTTACAGTATAGTCCTGCGGTTACCTCCTCTGCCCCTCCCCAACAATTACCCTTCCAGAGGTGGCTGGAGCCAAAGGCACAGTTAGGGTGCACATTCCTTTTCCTTTAACCAACCTTTCCAAATTGGCCACGAGTTAGGCTCCTTTTCATCAAATCCTCCAATACTTAACCTAGTCCTGTAATCTCACCTGGAGTAATTTAAATGTCATCCTTCCTTCTACTCTCACCCCTAAAAACTGCTTAATATGCATTTTATCATCCAATCAACCCCAACATTATAAAAAAGGTACAGAAATTAAAATCTGGCCCTCAAACCCCACAACAGGAATTAAGCAACCTCACCTTCAAGGTGTTCAATTACAGGGAAAAATCTGCCTGGCGGCCTCTTCCGTAAGACAAACCCCAGCCACACCACTGGCTCTCAAAGACTTCAAAGCCCCCAGACTGCAGCACATCCAGCTTCCCCTCCCAAACCTTGCTTCAAGTGTCAGAAACCTGGCCACTGGGCCAAGAAACGCCCACAGCCCGGAATTTCTCCTAAGCCCTGCCCTGTTTGTGTGGGGAGCCCCCACAAATAGTCAACTGTCTGACTCACATCGCTGCTCCCAGAGCTCCTGGAGCTTCAACCCTCGGCTTGGCGGCTTAAGGCTAACACTGTCCGAGCATCTCGGAAGCCCCCTGGACCATCATGGATGCCAAATCGGGAAACTCTTATGGAGGAGGGTAAGTCCATCTCCTTCTTAATGAGCACGGAGACCACCCACCCCATGCTGCATTCTTTCCAAGGACCTGTCACGCTGGTCTCCATAACTGTTGTGGGAATTGATGGCAAGACCTCCAGGCCTCTCAAAACTCCCCAAGTCTGGTGTCAATTAGGCCAGCACTCCTTTCCACATTCTTTCCTAATCACCCCCACTTGTCCAGGTGCCCTGTTAGGCTAAGACATCCCAGCAAAGTTGTCTGCCTCCCTAACTGTTCCTGGGCTACAGCCACACCTCATTGCCGTCCTCCTCCCCAAACCTGTACCTCCCTCAGTAGCTCCCCTTATGTTCCCCAACCTTAATCCTAGGGTGTAAAACACCGCCGTCCCATCCCTTGCTACAAGTCACTCACCCCTCTTCGTCCCCTTAAAACCTAACCACCCTTACCCTGACCAGCTCCAGTACCCCATCCCACAGCAGCCTTTAAAAGTAAAGCCTGTTATCACCCGTCTATTGCAACATGGCCTTTTAATTACCCTTCTGCTTCTTTAGCATCAATACTCAAAGGGGTATCGTGTATCCCCTTCCAAAGCCCAAATTTCTTCCCCATCTGTTATAATCTTTCACCAGCATACACACACTCTCCCTGCCAACCGTATCCAGTTAATTTCCCAAACCCCAACCCCATCCACCAAACAACAGCTTCTCTCCTTCCTGGGTGTGGTTGCAACTTTCACCTCTGGATACCAGGTTTTGCTATTCTAACTAAGCCATTGTATAAACTCAGTAAAGAAACTTATCCAACCCTATTAATCCTAAATCCTTTCCTCACTCCTCCTTTCTTTCGCTCCTTAAAAAACAGCTTTAAAAACTGGTCCCTCACTAGCTCTCCCCAACCTGTCTCAACACTTTTTCATTATATACTGCTAAAATCCAGGGCTGTATGGTTGGAATTCTCACATAGGAGACAGGCCCCTTTTGTCCAAACAACAACAACCCAGCAGTCCTGGGCTGGTCCTCACAACCACATGCAGGAGCAGCTGCCGCCCTAAGACTCTTAAAATCCCTCAAAATCACAGGCAATGCCCCATTTTACCCTCTAGCTCTCATAACCTCCAAAGTTTTCTCTTTATACCTCACACACTTACTTTCAGCCCTTCACCTTCTCCACCTTTATGCAGTCGCCCCTGCGACTTAAACCACACCTCAAAGAGTCTGTTTCTATTGTAGCAGGAGCTGCCGCAAGAAACAGAGCTCTCGAACACCAAATGGGAAGGAAGAGGTTTATTATTATGGCTGGGAGCCGGGCGATGATTTGTCTAAACCCAGCTCATCTAACGAAGGAAAGTTCTGCCTTTATATAGGCTTCCACTCTAGGTATTACATGTAAAAGAATCTCAGGTTTACAGCCTTAGAAATCACGAGTAAAAGTATTTCGGGTTTACAGTTTAGAAATCACATATGAAAGGGTTTCAGGTTTAATTACATGTAAAAGAATCTCAGGTTTACAGCCTTAGAAATCACGAGTAAAAGTGTTTCGGGTTTACAGTTTAGAAATCACATATGAAAGGGTTTCAGGTTTACACTTTTAGGAATCACATGTGAAAAGGTTCTGGTCTCTGGATGGAGGAGTGGGGTAGGGGGTTTGATCTCGTTTAAGTAAAAACAGTGTCTTCCGGAGAGTTTCCCCAATACCAAGCCTACCATCTACAGGAAGGTGATTCAGCAGGCGCCAGTTGGCCAGACTTTTCTTCTATTGAAATACAGTGTGGAAGTCAAGGGGGGAGGTGATTCCAGATGCCTGGGTCTCCTTCCTCACCCCCTACTTTGAGACCCTCGCCACTTTATAAAACCAGTGAAAAGTCTCACTTTTATTCTCATTTTCCAGATGCTGTGAAGAAACTAATGGATACTGATTTATATAATATACTTGTGATGTCAGTTTTCTGGTCTATTACAGTAGTAAAGGATTTCGTAGTCATTTAGAGGAACAAGGGGGGGAAGCAGGGGAGTAGTAAACAAACACCCACCATTGTTACCACACTTATGATGAGGGTTTTTAATCCTCCCAGGCCTGAGGACCACCCCTTAAACAAGAACTCAGGGTTGAATCTCTGCCATACCGGCACAGGCACGTGTGCTAACTCGGTTATATTCTTAAATGCACGGCCCTGGTCGTTTATGCGCAGGCAGCAGCTGGTTAGTTTGATTTTTTTTTTTTTTTTTATAACAGACTCCTCCGTCAGCTGCCAGCAAATAATCTAAGGCCAACCGGTTCCGATAAATGTCATTTCTCATTTGAGTTTCTTGTCTGCCCAAAATGGACAGAGCTTTGCCCATTTCATTAATGAGTATTTCCAAGGCAGCCTGCAACGGAATGGTCTGAGTTAGCGTATAGATAGGAGTCCAGTGTCCCCATGGGCCATTCTCTGTCCCCGTGGCTGGCCTATAGTACTCGATAATTCTTTCTGGTGGCCACTTATTGTTTTTCCATTTACCTATTTTCAGACTTCTTTTCTCCCCGGGGGAGTAGACTGGATACCCTAATAGCTCACCTGTCTTAACAGATAATAGGAAAAAGGAAGGCTTAATGATGCCTATGACGCAGCTACCTGTCCATTTTTCACGCAGCTGTATGTATGCCCTATGTCCGCATATCCAGTACAACCCAGGCAGGGCTGTCCAGTCTCTCTGGTACCCGGGATGATCCCAAGCATCCTATAATTTTGGAAATTCTAGGAGAGGGTTCTTTTCTGTATAGTTTGAGCTCCACCAGGTTACAGTAGCCACAGTTCCATTATACAATCCCTGCCCTATGCAGCTAAGCTTTCCAACTGGAACAGTGAAGTCTGTTCCTTCTCTGGCCAAAGTATTGTCCAATAATCGAAACCTTTAAAACCCAGAAACTGTTGGTTTGAACCCTCTGAACTGAGGGCAGGTCAGGGAGAGGGACAGAGGGTAATAACTCACTGGCTTCCCATGGCCACCTGACAGGCATAGTCGTCCCTCCACATACATGGCAAGAAGTAACATTAAGGGAATGGGTCACATTTTCAGCAAATTGGAGGAACAAGTTCTTTGTCTTTTTCAGAAGTTCTGGCACTGGCTTATTTAATATACCATAAAAGTGCTGGTACACTGGCCGGGCTGAGCATTTTTGGATTTTTCCCTGAATCTGGATACTGACTCCAAGGTCAAGCCCTTTCTCATTAATTCCTAGCATTACACTTTTTCCTTTTTCCCATTTAGAGTCTTGGGGGTTTGTGATTATTAGTTTTACTGAGCTACAATGTCCTGAGACACAAGGGACATTACTCCCTGGAATGGTGTCTCTCCCTTTTATAAGAAGAACGGGATTATTTGTATCATTCTTTTAAGTGGCCCAGATGATGCATGACCCAAAAATGCAATTACTGCCCCAGTAGGTTTTCTGGTAGATACACTTAGGCTCTTTTGCCTAACTTTGTTCCCATCCGAGGGAACCACAGCGCCCCCTACTGAAATGATGGCTGCACAGGCATTAAACCTTAGTGTAACCTGTTTTGGGCTTCCGTTCTCCCTTGTTCTGGCTATTAATTTAGCAGGGCTATTTTACCACCCTATTAGTAGTTTAATTTTAAAAGTCGTATGTGTAGGGGGCTCTGATGGGTAGTAGCACACATCCCCCAGATTACACACCTTATACTGAGTACCATTATATAAGCAGGTCCCCTTCTGTGTCCCTGTACATTCATAATAACTGTAGGACACAAGAACGGCAGTAACTTTACGTCCTACCTTAGTAACCTGGTGCACACACTGAGGGCATTCTTCAAAATTAGTTAATGTCCCTACTGTGCAAGTCCAAATATTAGGAAGAATAAGTCCTATGATGAATTTCCTCATGCTTCAGCCATGCGTGGACCAGCCAGCTTCCAGATGTGGCTGGAGCAGGGCTTGTTGTCCTATTTAAGGTGATTCTGCAGTTGTTGCCTTGGTGTAGCTCTCCAAGTCTCAGCTGCTGCTGGTTTTTACACAGCTGTGGTGAATCCAGGCTGGGGTTCCCTCCACCTTCACAGCTGTGGGAGTGGTCAGGATCAGGCCTAAGGTCCTTTCCACCGTGGCTTTAGAGGGGCTGTACTACAGTCTTTTATCCACAGGTGATCACCTAGTGAGAAAGGGTGAACTGGGGAGAATAAGCTTATAGGACATTTGTCATTTATCCTGGTTGAAATGTCCTGAGCATTCTCCCTAGAGCTGGTAACTAGCATCCTAACTCAATCTCTCCCCACTCCCGAGGAGTTCCCAGGAGTGCCTGGAGTAGGGGAAGGGGCCTATGATATAAGGCTTTATAGGGGAATATCCTGTTTTCCAGAAGGGAATACATTTAATTTTGAATAACACCAAGGGAGGTGCCTGCACCCACTTTGATCCTGTTTCCTGATACACTTTCCCTAAGATATTTTTAACGGTCCAGTTCATTCTTTTCACTTTTCCCAAACTCCAAGGACAATAGGCAGCATGCTGTTTCCAAAGTAATACCCCAAGGCCATTGCTGTCTTCTGGGCCAACTTCACCGCAAATGCTGATCCGATGAGCAGTGGCAGTCCAAACCTAGAAATGAGATCTCGAAGCAGCACATGGGTTATTTCATGGGCTTCCGAGGGGCAAAGTGGCAGAGTTTAGGGTGTGGCATAGACCCCAATGGTGATGTGGAGATTTTCACTTCAGCAGGCTCAGGTATTTGGTAGGCTTAACATTTGTTAACCAATGATGTCCTTTGGTATTCATTAGGGTTACTACCGTGTGGGGGTGCTTTGATATTTAAATTCTTCCCAGAGTTGATGCTAGAATCTTCAACTGCCATTCCTCATTTTTTTTGGTTTTGTTTTGTTTTGTTTACCCATACAGCATGAAAAACTGTCAAATCTGCTAGCCCCAAAGCCAGGGCTGACAGAATTTTCACCTTTAGTTTCTGCCCCATTCAGAGAGTTTCTGTTTTTTCTCCCCTCCCCCTTTTGTCACTTTGTGTAAGGGTTTGGC